TCCATTAAGGAATTAAAACCAATTTTGAGAGTTGGGACTGTAAATAAATTTAGTTTATAATTTTCAAATATTAAGATTATGAACATAAAGGAAATCAGTTTTATTCTGTGTGAAAATTGAACCTTGAACTTGTTCTTGTTGAGTGTGAACTTGCACATGACCAAGTGATGCCGTTTCAGAATAATGGATGCTGGTAGAGTGTAAATGCATCATAAACATGTTCATCTTCACAAAATAAGCCAGCGAGTTTTGTGCAACTAGAATGAGCACTCAGGCCAAAATTTTTGGATTTACTTTGCAGCCAAAGATTAAACAGGTGTTGAAAGATTTGCAGTTCATTTGAGCAAGCCAGGAGCTATTAATTATTTCAAGAAAAAAGTGAGAGAATGCAATAAGTTACAAACACTGGTAGAACTTTGGCTCACTGTGATTTCAGATGCACAATAAATTTTTTTCTAACACGTTTTTCTGCAACCTTTGTCAAGTAAAAGTTTACATAGTTGTATAAACTGTAAATGCCCAAATGAACATTCTGGTCCTAATTATGCCTGTAGAAAAATATATACACGTATAAAAACAAACAGGTTTCTGGATTTGTGCAGTTTTAAGCAGCTTAAAGAACAAAAGTTTAATTCTCGTTTTTATTTTCAAGCGTTAGAAACTAACAATTTTAACATCTCTGCAGGGTCCCTGGGCACCGCTGGACGGATCTGCAATAAGACATCCCGTGGCACCGACGGCTGCGAGGTCATGTGCTGCGGGCGTGGCTATGACACCACTCGAGTCAAGCAAATCACCAAGTGCGAGTGCAAGTTCAAATGGTGCTGTGCCGTGGAGTGTAAGGACTGCGAGGAGGCTGTGGACATACACACATGCAAAGCTCCTAAACGAGCAGAGTGGCTGGATCAGACCTGAGGACAGGCACAGCCCTTCTTGCTCCCTGTAAAGCAACCTCCATATCCCCATTTGCAGGACATCCTGTGGAACTTGGCATTCTGGGAAGTCTGGCCAAAAATGCTCTGTGTCGTTGCCACTTTTCTCTTCCCTCATCTTGTCTCATCTTTGCATGGCGTTTTTTTTTTTTTTTTTTTTACTTGTCTGTGAAAGCACTAGGATCCAGTACCTGTCAGTATGAACTAATGCACAGTAGCTGCGGTTGGTGAACGGCTTTGTGCTCAAACTGCTGGGGTCAGATGAACAGTAAAACCAGCGACACCACTAAGGCTTTCATCGCAGATTCAATCCCGACAGAATAGGTTTTATTTTTCCTGTGTGGTTCTGTGATTTTAACGGTTTGCTGCTTTTATGATGCTTTAAAGACAAATCTTTACATTACATGAGCCTTAAAACATATCCAGTATTATTACAGCAACATCACATCATATACTCACATATTTTTGCTTCTGTTATTTTTTTGTACCCCCGCCCCCCCAAAAAAAAACCCCCACCACACTTGGTCGGACAAAGGAAAGCATTTTAGAAAGTGCAATTTAAAAAACGGACATCTAATCACGCACTTGGCAATCTGTGTAGCCAAACGGGAATTCAGGACGACGACAAGGAGATGGACACCTGAAGAAATCAAAGAAATGAATGGATGTGTCACCAGAACGCTTAATGAAACTTTAAAGAAGAAGAAAGCATGTTTAAAGAGCTTTATTTAAATTGTAAAGTGTTGCTTCATTCCTCATCTGTTGATGAGACTGCACTACATCAGCCGACACTGAGAGCGAGACGAGCCCTCCCATAACTGTGATCACACAGTGTACTTTAGTTTTCAGTGTGTGAGATGAAAAACTGCTGCTGAGAAGAAAACTAAGGCCTTGGCGGTCACTCGATGACCACAACAAAGACAGATTTCACCTCTCTGCTCTGGAGCTTGCTTGTGTAACATTCTGTATATTGCCTTATCCAAACAGATGTTCTTATGAAATATATGGCGTACTAGTATGACAGTGGCATGTTTGTTTTTTGTTCAAGCACATTTTTTAGTTTTTTTAAAGGAAAAAAAATCCGTCGGAATCTGTCTTGACTGAATAGAAGAGTGAATAGTTTAGGTTTTACACAAATTTAACATTTATTAGCATTTTTCCTCACCAACTGGAGCGGAAAGCCACTGGACAGAAGCACTAATAATACAATATATGTTGGTAACAAAGGCTGATTCTGTGTGGATCAGGGTGGGGGGGCTGTTATATCAGTCAAGGAGAGGGAAGTGTTTTATTAAAGGCCCAGTCTAAAAACCCAACCCCTGCTGGCCCTCTCCCACCCCTCGCTATGTGGAATTCCAGGTGGGTCCCAGGCTAATGACTAGATGGCTGTAATTACCCTGGGCTGTTGATAGCTGGTGATGGGACGTGGTTGTGCCACAGAGGATCTAGTGTGGGCTCCTGCTGGGACCACATTTAATCAAAGGCTTCTTGGCCGGCTTATCAAAGGGAATACTTTCCAGCAATCTTCTCAGTCTCAGCCCCCTCAGCTCCCCCAGACTCCAGTTCAGTCTCGGCTACATTGGAGTCCAAAGACTCGTGATGATGTGAGCTCTAGAGGCCGTCGCACACAAGTGCAAAATTAAAATAGGTACGTTTTTGGAAAATGGCTTTACTCTCAAAAGTTTGATCCAATTTACTGCAAAGTTTTCACAGTGAGGGCTACATTACTGACTGTGTTCTGATAATGAAACAAGGAGCAAAAAGCTCAGAACCAACTAAAGGAAAAAGATCACATTTATAGCTTCAGTTTCATACAAGCTGCTGTGGTGCTTCACAATGAATGGTTGTTAAATGGATTTGTGATTCATGTTCATTCGATCAGCCTTATTTACTTTTAAAAGCATCTTCAACATCCTAGAACTGATCTTTTTTATACCTATTAATCTTTATCAGTGGGAAGTTAACAAGGAGAAAGAAGGGGAGCTCATAATCAAGGAAGGTAAAGGCAGGGCATCAAGCAACTCAAGAGTTTTAAAGATTAAAAACAGTTTTTCATGAAGAATTGATTTTTCTTTTTTCTTTTTTTATAAATCAGATCACAAAAAGGAAAGGAAACAGAGACCAAGAGTAGACAATGAAAACTGTAGACCATCACGTTGTAGACATTTGTTAATCATTTTTGCTGCTTTCTATCGCAGAGAGTCACAAGTTGTTAAAACTGTCCGTTCTCTTGCACTTCAACAAGCAAAGCAGTCAAAATAAGAGAATCCCTTCTCACTGAACAGTTCTGAGGTAAAAACACAAAGTACAAGCAGCTCTGTTATAAATTTTTATCACTTCAAGGTTGTCAGATGGGTACAAAGACGTGTGCTGATGTCATATGTTTAGACTACTAGCCACACAGACGGAACATGTGATCTCCGACATTTGTTCCAAATGATCACAATAATTCTCAACTGTGCTAGCCTCCTATTTTTATGCTTGTCCTATGTTTTCCCTCACTTGACTTTCCTGGTGGCTCAAAACTGACAGCCGCAAAGATTTATTAAACGTATGTCAGGGCTGCAGTTCATGTCAGTCTAAACTCTGTTTGCCAAATGACAACAGCTCTGAGAACAGAGGGGACTTCAAGATTACATACACATCCATGTATGTAAGCATAAATAGACACACATGATCCAATAAATGCACTGGAAGAGAAAGTACTTTTAAAAAAAAAATCCAATCTTTAATGATATCAACGAAAAATATTCTACAAATATGAGACAATGAGAGGAAACATTTTGGTGAACGTAGGAGATAAAGAAGTGTATAGGGTTACTTAAAAACCTAGCAGGCCAGTTTATCTGTAGATCTTAACTGAACTACGTTCCCCACAATTCATCATCATTACCTGCCCCATCTGGCACATCGTTCTTACCACAGCCCTGCACCACTCTCCTCCTTCCTGCCTCCAGTACAGACATTAGTTGGTGGGATTCATGCTGGACAGCCACCTTGGGGTGGTCCGAGTGTCAGCCATGCGATCTGTTTTGTACACACAGTCACATGTACACACCTGCAGGCCAAGACAGTGCCCCCCAAACTCACCTATCACTTGTCTGGTAAAACCATTGGTATGTTAGCAGTGTTTCTGCTCTGTCACTCACTGCTCATGACCAGAAAGTGAACACAAACACCCCTCAGGGCCAGCAGAACCTCAAGTCTTTTTTTTTCCCTTCGCTATATTTTTCAATGCATTTTTGGTTAAGGCTATAGGAAGGAGACTGGTGAGTTAGGGGTCATAACATTTAGGTGTTTCAACAGAAAGCCTTCAGCACTATGAATGCTGATCCGGTGCCTGTTGACGCTTTCTAAACTCAGACAGCTTGGTGAGACTATTTAGAAAACCAACAGCTTTGGTGGATTTAAGCCTGGCCTCCGTAGAACATCAGCCTCTCTCATTCAACCTTTATGTATACAGGTTAGCCTCATTGAGTCACGAGGACTCCTTCTCAAGAGAGACCTATTTTAGACCAACCACAGATGATGTTCACACAATAAGCAACCATAAAATCCTTTTCGATGTCTGCCGTTGGGCATCAGGTGATGCAGCTTTGTTGGAAAGATGTTTGAGGTAAGGAGCAGCAAAAGGTGTACATCTTAGGGATGCACAATATTATTGGCATGTATCGATATCAGCCAATATTAGCGATAAAGTTAAATATCAGACATTGGCCATTCCTTCGAAATAACTCACCTATATAAAAGGCACTGTCATACATACATACATACATACATACATATATATATATATATATATATTTATAGGCACTGCTTTGTATGACAACCCAGTGACATGGATGCCTGCAGTGTCAGCACAATGTTATGACGTCGCATGCGCCGTTGAGTTTAGATTTGTAAAAATTTACTAATTTGCACTGTTCAGGTGTTGTCACTGTGTTAGAGAGAATAAATGTCATGAATAAATTTGATGTTAAATATAATCCAAGTTGAAATGTTAAATCATTTTCAGCCCCCTTATTGGCATCTGTATTTGGTAGCAGGCCAAACTGACAAAGACCATACAGAATAATGGAGCATTTTAATTCCACAGCAGAGAAAGCTATAGTCTAGGGGAAAAAATATTGATATTGGTTATTGGCCAAATAAATTTTAATGTATCGTCATATTGGATATTGGCCAAAAATCCAATATCGTGCATCCCTAGTAAATCTCTTAGGAAATTCAAACTAAAATTTCCATAACCTACAAAAATCTGTTCAGTGAAGAGACAGAGAAGGAGAATAAAAATATGAATCTGAGTTAAAAAAAAAAAAAGGTGATTAAGTAAAACTAATCTTATGCGAATAGAGCTATAAGACAACATTTATCTGCTGAGACTTTCAAGAAGAAATGTTTGCCCCTCACTACTTCCAGCCTCCCCAGTCCCCTCCAGCTTTGGCCTCTTTGCTCAGTCGTTTCCTGAAATGGTTTACAGCTGCACAATCTAGCAACCGTCACAGTATATAGTGAGTGTCAAGAACAACAGCTACAACAGCAACTTTGCTTTTGCACATTGCTGGTCCAACGTTCCACTGATCACAAAATCACTCCTTTAATCTTGCATACTGTATTGCTGCAAAAATGGGGAGAGATGGGGTTGAGTTTTTCACTCTGAAGGTGCAACAATATTTCATCTGCTCTGTGAGGGCTAAACATTTTCACTGCCGTCAAATTTCTCCATTTACTAACGCGTGCCACCACATTGACCTAAATTTATTTTCCGTGAGTACAAAGTGATCTGACCCATCAATTTGTCAAATGTAGTTTATCTGTGGCATAACTCAGTCAGTGCTCAGCCAGAAGTCTAGCATTATTGGGATATTTCAGATTTCTTTTCTTTTTTTTAAGTGGGCTTCTGTGAATTACACAGAGAGCAATAACAGTGAGCTCTGTTTGGAGTCAAACTGAAGCTGTAAAAGAAAGAGTCAAGCTAACAAGATGAGCAGCGTGAGCTAATTTTACCATTACACTA